GGACTTGTAAGGGAGTAGTATACTACACTAGTGGGAGTAATATTAAATATATAGTTGTGATAATTTTATACATATATATGTATTTCGAAAATACATATGTATTTTAAAATTATATTTTGTTTGTGTCATTTTAGTTATATGATAATTATATTTTGACAAAACAAATTTTATTATATATATATATATATATATATATAGCGCCGAATGTGTGTGTGTGTGTATATATATATATATTATTTTAATTTTCATCATTTTAATTATATGATAATTATTGATGTCAAAATAAAATGTAATGCATTTTAATATGAGATGGCCAAAAATATCAAAGGGAAAATTACAAGACATAAATTGATTTTCTACCTAATGATATATTTGATTGATATAATCAAATATTTGATTAACAAAAGGATATTTGTCTTGTTGTGTTGGTTGGGGACATTACATTAATCCTAATTTGTTTTGTCCCTAAGCTATTTCCTAGAAATTCATTTAAGTTGTTTATTATAAAATGAAAATACAATCCCTCCCCTTTGAGCTTAATAGATTCGGCCATCACAAGGAAGAGAAGAAAAATCCTATTTTGTGTTCAAAGTTATTTTTCTAAAGTGTTAGAAATATACACAAAATATTATAAAGAAATATTTATAAGATAAATATTTTACTATATATTTATTACTCCAAAGTAGTATTATTTTAGTTTTTACTATCCTATATTAAACTTGCTAGCACAAGTTTAATCTTGGACTCCGGAGCAAGTTCGTGTGGATACGTTGGTGGCTTCATACGTTTGGCACTACGTTCATCTCCTCAAAACCATCCCCGACCATTCCTCCGTTCTATGTTTTCACCGTTAAGGTAAATTTCTTACTATAGCTAGTAATTTACGTAAGTTGTTCTTGGGTGGAATCGAGTTTTGGACTATAAATTTTGTTTTCCGCTACGTTATCCAAGCCTCGTTTCCCAACAGGGTGTCCTCCATTTGTTCAAAGTGTTGTTTGCCTGGGGTCCAGGGGATATGCCTGGGGTCGACCCACGAATCATCTGCCAAAAATTGGCGGTAGATCCGGCCCACAAGCCGATCAAGCAGAAGAAGTGTTTCCTCTCCTCGGAAAGGAGAGATTTTGTCACTAAGCAGGTAACCACCCTGCAATCCATCGGGCAAATCTTGGAAGTGTGTTACCCAGAGTGGTTGGCAAACGTAGTCCTTGCACCCAAGGGGACCACCTGGCGGATGTGCGTCGATTACACTGACCTAAACAAGGCCTACCCGATGGACCCGTTCCCTCTTCCCAACATTAACCAGTTGGTGGACGAGACGGCAGGGTGTGAGTTGATGAGCTTTATGGATGCCTTCAGCGGCTACCATTAGATCAGGATTGCCACAAGAGACGAAGAGAAGACCTCCTTCATTGCCCCCAATGGGGTATACTGTTATAAGGTAATGCCCTTCGGCCTGAAGAACGCTGGCGCGACTTATGCACGAATGGTCAATAAGTTGTTCACGCCTGTGTTAGGGGGGTGTATGGAGGCGTATGTGGATGATATGATTGTCAAGTCAAAGCAGATGGTATCCCATGCTCAGAATTTGGAAAGGGTGTTCAGAATAATGAAGAAGTACCAACTCCGCCTCAATCCGAAGAAGTGCATGTTTCAGGTCCAAGGAGGCAAATTCCTAGGACATATGGTCAGTCGAAGGGGGATTGAGCCCAACCCTGAAAAGGTGAAGCCAATCATGGAAATGGAACCTCTGCGAAATGTGAAGGAGGTCCAGCAGCTAACGGGGAGGATCGCTGCTCTCAGTCGCTTATTGTGGAAGATAGCTGATCGAGCGGCACCATTCTTCTAGACCATAAAGAAAAGCAGAGGCTTCATCTTGACCGAGGAGTGTCAGAGTTCCTTTGAAGGGTTGAAGGCGTATCTCCTCTCGCCATTAGTACTTTCGAAGCCAGAGCCCGGAGAGACATTGTTTTTGTACTTGGGGATCTCTCCTCGCACTGTGAGCTTAGTACTGGTGAGAGAGGAGGAAGGTATTCAGCGACCTGTGTACTATGTGGCTCGGTATTACGAGGGGCAGAGCTAAGGTATACAAACATGGAAAAAACAATCTTTGCGGTGGTGTGCACAGTGAAGAAGCTCACCCCCTATTTTCAGGCCCATCCGGTCCATGTGTTGTCCCACATATCCGATCGGAACCCTCATTCGGAGTCCTAATGCTCCGTCGCACGTCAGCAAATGGGGGGTATTCCTGGGTTCATTCCAAATAGAATTCAAACCGCGACCAGCGATCTAGGGGCAGGCCTTGGTGCATTTCGTGGTGGAATGCACCGCAAGGGAAGTAGAGACCAGCGGAGAAGAGCAAGAATGAAATTGGTGGACCATATACACCGATGGATCACCCGCGGAGAAGAGCAAGAATGAAATTGGTGGACCATATACACCGATGGATCACCCGCGGCCGATGCTTCGGGGGGAGGCGCCGTGGCAATATCACCAGAAGGATTTAAGGCGTATTACTTTGTAAGATTTCGTTTCAAGGTCTCAAACAATGAGGCTGAGTACGAGGCGCTCCTCTGTGGCTTGAGACTGGTAGCGTCTTTGAAAGCTGAGCGGATCCAGGTCAAGTGTGATTCCAAATTTATAGTGGGCCATGTCACAGGGGAATTTGAAGCGAAGGACGAGCGGATGAAGAAATATAGGGACACCGTATTGTAATTGCTTAAGGCATTAGGGGCGTACCGAATAGAGCAGGTCCCTCGAGAAGAAAATGCTGAGGCAGACATCCTCTTAAAGCTTGGTACTGATTCCCTGGATCATATCAAGGCTATGACTCAAGAAGAGGAGTTATTTGAACCAAGCATCAGTCCCAGGCAAGTTTTGGTCATTACACTCAATGAGCCGGACTAGATTGACGAGTTGACCATGTACATCCATGACGGATCGATACCAACAGAGCCAGTCGTCAAGCGACGCGCACCTAGCTATACCCTGGAGTGCGGGAGGTTGTATAAGCGATCGTACAATGGTACATTGCTAAGTTGTTTAAGGAGGGACGAAGCACAGAAGCTGATGGAGGAAATCTTTGAGGGAACATGTTCGGCACACCAATGAGCTTTTACAATGTCGAGGAAGATAACCTTGCAGGGGTACTTTTGGCCGACGATCATTAGAGATTGCACAGAGTACGTGCGTAAGTGTAAGGTGTTCCAAAAATTCCAGAGGGTACCAGGGTGACCAGCAACGAACTACACCCCAATCAGCACGACAATTCCCTTTGCTCTGTGGGGTATTGATTTGGTAAGTATCTTGCCCAGGGGAGTGGGAAATAACATGTACCTGGTGGTCGCGATCGACTACTTTACCAAGTGGGTCGAGGCCGCTCTAGTACCGACCATCACCGAAGAGCAAATGAGGAAGTTTGTGTCGAAAAAAATATTGTGTCGTTTTGGAGTGCCCCAACAGATCATCACTAACAATGGAACTCAGTTCGAGGCTAGGGGGTTCAATGAGTTTTTACAAAGTTGGGGAATAAAGCATAGCTATGCTGCGGTCGGGTATCCACAAACCAATGGGCAGGTCGAGAATACTAACCGCACCATTGTGGATGGCCTGAAGAAGAAGTTAATGGAATGCAAAAACGCGTGGGTAGAAGAATTACCTTACATCCTATGGACTTACAGGACCACCCCGAGGAAGGCCACGGGGGAAACGCCATTCGCGCTCACATATGGATTCGAGGCAAGGGCTCCAGCCGAAACCTCACTGCTGAGTTATAGGGTGGAGACGTTTGATGCGCAAGAGAATGAGGAAAGATTGAGGGCGGAATTACACCTCATAGACGAGTGAAGAGAAAGGGCCTACATCCGGGCCGAGAATTACCGCCGAGAAGTTAAGTCGTACATGACCAGAGGGTGCGACCAAGGCAGTTCAAAATAGGCGACTGAGTTCTAAGGAAAAGGGAGGTCAGCCGGCCGACTGACGGTGGGAAGTTTGCAAAAAGCTTTGAAGGGCCATACATCATAAAGGAAGTATTGGCTGATGGAACTTTCAAGTTGCAAACACCAGCGGGTGCGACGTCTCGCGAGCATGGAATGCTGATAACCTTATCAAATTTTATCAGTAGATTGTACTCCTGCTATGTTTTTCCTTTAAGTTAAATAAAACCAATATTTTGGCACCTCAAGCAATTCTCTTCTTCAAAAAAAAAAGAAGGAAGCGACAAGAAGAGATCGCTGCCAGGAACTACACGGTGATTCGCACTAAGATGCCTATTAAGGAGTGAAGTGTTGAGCCCAGTTAGTGGCTAAAATTAGGCAACCAAACATGACCAAGCATATGAGTGCTCGATGGCCAGTAAGCGCAAGACCTAATGATCGTTGGGGCGACCGATAAGCTAGCGCACTTAAGAAAGGGGTGACGCCAAGGCGAAAAAGCCTCAGAAGCGGCTAGGTCCAGAACATAAGACCCAACGGTTGCTTGGGCGATCGAGGGAGGCTTATGAGGAACACGACAACGCCGAAGGGGCGAAAAAGCCCTAGGACGGCTAAGTCAGGAGAGGCAGATGGCCTTCTTAACCAAAGTTTGAGGAGACGTGAATGCTTGAAATAAGGTGTAAAGGCAACTTTAAAAGGAGATGGGGCTTGTCACAAACAAAACGGACATGTAACACCAAAGTTCATTCGTGAAACTATCTATTAAATACCAAGAACCACCTTTTACACTTGCATATCCAATACAATTGAGGACATCTTTCGTACGTCTTACATACATCCACACATACATCCAAGAGGAAAAACATAAAACCCACACGGCCGAAGCCTGAAAAGGAAGAAAAACACAAGGAAAAAGGCGGGGTGAAGGGTAGTTCTGCAGCTAAAAGGCAAGCAGAATCTCAACCACCAGTTGCTACAGACGGCCACCTCTCTTCTCCAACATGGAACAGGGGCGGCCACCCCCCAGTCGCAACAAAAACCCCCGTCCTTTTCGTGTAGAGGTAGGAGGGAGGGGGACTCTCTTTTCTGTGAACCCAAATCGGCATCACCTAGATGAGGATGAAGACCCTGAAGTAGCTTGAGCTACTCCTGGTCGTTTAGGGGCCTTCCGGGAGGGTGAGCGACTAGCAAGGCGTGGTAGAGGAGAACCCAGTTCTTCCCCCACCACAACCTCCTCGTTGGGTTGCTCTAGCGAGTTGATGTGACTCTCGCTAGTCCACTGCTCCTGACTCGTGTAGTATGCTTCTTCATGCTCCAAGAGAGGCAAGTGCTCATCCTGCACGCTCTTCCAAGCCGCATAATGCCACTTGTGGATAGGGAATGGAGCACCCTAGTCAACCTGTCCATTGGGTAACTGGTTGGCTTAAAGTGCCTTAGACGCCGCGCTAAAGTCATCATGAGGGTTTGGTGGAGTGGGCGGCGGTTTAACCGAGGGCCACCGACAACGAGGCAACCGGCGGAAGAATTCATAGGGGTCTAGCCCCCCCCCCCCAATTGTTGGAATTAACGGACTTGAGGGAAGAGGCAGACTCTGGCGAAGAAGGGGACGACCCATCGGAAAGATTCAAGGAAGTAGGAATTTCTTCAGACATGGTGAAAAATGGAGATGTCGTGGTCAGAAGAGAAGGTGTGTGAAGGAGGAGTCAAACGAAGTATGGGGAGCTTATAAAGGGCCCCGGTTGAAGAAACCAAAGAGACTATCAAGTCCCAAGGCAGCTGAACCGATAAAGCAGCCTTGAGCAGCGCAATGGTCTAATCAGTGGTTGTAAACAGGGAAGTGGACCAGTTGGGCGGCACGACAACAAGTCACAAGAGTGGGCCTAGTCACACAGATGGGCCAAAATAGGAGTTGGGCCCCGGACTGAAGGCCCACCCACATCAACGGAGTGGGTCAATTTGAAGAAAGAGTACAGCAGCAAAGCACAAGGAAAGCAAAGGCATGCGGCAGTGCAAGGGGAACGTGGGATAGATCACACGCCTGAGCTGGTGCCCTCGCCCGCCTTGGACACTGCAAGACTCGCCCCAAGCCCCCAGTCGCCTTGCCCATCCTGGTCACCGTGCGCAGTTGATTCCTCTTCCTCATCGGAGGCACTCGAACTCTCCTCGTCCAAGTAAGGACTGGGGTCGAACTAAGCGAAGGCACGACACAGAGGGGGAAGGCCAAGATCGGGAAGGGAGATTCGCTTGGGAAGCCGAGCTAGCTTGTCGCAGAAAACCAATTGGGATCAGAAGAGTCCGCAATTGAAGCTCCTCTCTGGCTCCCCGACCATCCATTGAGCTCCTGGCCAAGTCTTGAGCAACTCGACTACCAGCTTGTCCATCCGCTCCATGGCGACCGTGGTAAACTCGGGGGAAGATTTGAAGGACTCGACTGCCTCCTCGAGGCGATGGGCCTGGTCGCTCCTCTCGGCCTCCAACTACTAGATAAGATCGGCCTTCTCTCCTTCCAGCTCGGCTACTCGGGCAGAAACGGACCCCACCTCAGAAGACAGTGAGGCATTCTCCACCTCTAGGTTGGCGGAGCGACCCTTCTCCTCCTCCAACTACCTCGCAAGCCAAGCGACCTCATCCTGCAGCTCCCTCTACTTATCTTCTGCAGCTTTCTTCGCCTCATCCATAGCCGCTTGGCAATCCTGCCTCCAGCCGACGAGCTCGATCATCCCTAGCGTGGTCTAAACAGGGGCATGAGGAATCATGATTGTAGGGTAAAAAGAAAGGAGGAGGAATGTAAGAAAGGAGGGGGTCGAGGAAAGGAATTAAAGCGAATACCTGACTAAGCTTCAGAAGAACCATGTTGTTGAGGTCATCATCAGAACCGGCCGAGATTCGAGCTCGATATTGAGCAGGGAGGGTGGCCAAGGTCTCCAGCTGTATGTCCCCTAGACTTGGGGACGGGGGAGGAATGCTAAACCTTGTCGAGAGACCCTCGGTCGCCACCTCGTAGGTCACTGCGGGTGGGGAGGGAGGTCCCTCCGAGAGGGCCTACTAAGACGACCCGGACAGGTCTCCCCCAAGCGTCACAAAACGCGGCAGGGAGTTGATCGCCATCATTCTCGTTTCCGAAACCACGTCGTCCTGATCCTCCACCTCGATCACAACATGTTCCTGCCGGGGGCTATCTTTTCCGTGCGAGGAAGAACGCTTGCTCCTGCTCTGCCGGGCTGCATCCCTCTTCCTCTTCCTCCCTGCAATGAAGTGGCTGATCAAGAGATCACCCTCCATCTCTTCTTCCAACCCCTCTTGTTCGACTGAAAACAAGTGGAACAGGTAGTACCTGAAGAGATAAATTTGAGATCCCTGATGGAGAAGGAAAAAATTACTAAAAGGGCCAATGTCAACACTCCCCCCGGGGAAGTCCCTTAGCAAGTCAGGCTGATGGTGATGCTTGTCTTGGACAAACACAAACCCCAGCGCTGCTAGAGATTCCTTGGTTACCACCTTAATCTCGACGGCCCCCTGGCCGCAGAGTTCCTGGGTTATGGATAGGAGAGTGGCGTTGGGTTGAAGACACGGAATGCAACGGAAGTATGGGAGCCCTGAACTCGTAAAAGGAGATTCGGGCCCCGTCGAGACAAAGACAAAAAAGGGCTTCCAGTCCTTGGTCGACCCTTTCTTGTCGCTAGTGAAGAGTTTGCTGGATCGCTGGGAAAGGCTGGCGTAGGACGCCCACTCCCCATGACCTTTGGCCAGTTTAAAGGTAAAAAGGAAATGGTCAACAACAAATGAAGAGGGAATCGCAGCCCCTTCTTCAAAGAGGCCAGATGAACGGTAAAGAACCCTAAAGGAGCATCCAGGGCGGTTTGGGTTCTAGTGGGCCGTAGGAATTCAATAGAAGGCCTGACCATGTTAGTGGCGTCGGCGAACCCATGGTCAGTAATTTGACAATGGCACAACGCCATGATGTTCTCATCCAGTGGCCCTCTTGCCCTTCAGCGTCGGGGTCGAGAAGGGGAATTGCTTCCTCAGCCAGCGCAGCTTTTGGCCAGCCACGGCCGCCGGCGATGGCTGAGAAGAATTGGCCTGACCTTGGTCATGGCCAGAGGCCGAGTGACTGTCTTGGCGAGAACTGGATGACAGAGAAGCCAAGTTAGAATGAGAGACAATCATGATGGTAAAAGGGGGAACTGACCTGAAGTAGAAGGAAAATGGGTTGGGTAATGGCGGAAGAGCAAGTGAAGAAGCAAGTGTAGCAGGGTAGGAAGAATGGCGTCCAGCGGCAGTTTTATCAAAAGGTTGGAAGGCGAAACAGTAGGCCATGATTACTTTTAGTGGAGATCGTGCGAGACGTCACGCGAAACCTAAGGAACGGCTCGAATCCGTTGAGGGGGCGCCTCTAACGCCCCAAAACATGGTCTAAAAGTTATTCTATAATAAAAGTATTTTAGAAACAATATTTTGACTCAACAAAAATATTATTTCTATGTTTGACCAAAAACAAAGGAATTTTAAGAGTCAATGATTTTGGTTAAGATTGACTTTTATGGATAGGTCTCAAAGAGACAAATCCAACGGTATATTTTATGAATAAATTTGACATACAGATTTTCAGTTATGACAATTTAGATATGTAAATTGTATAAAAATGAGAAGTGATCAAAGATGTGAACTTTTGTAAAATAATTTATTGAAATAAATATTTAAATTGAATATTGATTGAATATGAGAGTAATTTTAATTATAGATCAATTAATTCAATTTTGAATCTGTCAAAGTCAACACCCAAAAATACACTGTCGGAAAAAGTATTTCAAATAAATATAAAAATTATATCATTGTGTAGAGTTTGAATGTCTGATCGCAACGGTGCAAACGGATTTCAATTTGGAGAAAGTTGGACCAAAAAGTGTACCCCAACTAGAACTGAAATTAGTCCCAATCAGGGACTTGCGTCTAAAATCAGTAGGAATCACCACTCCTCCCACTACGCCGATCGCAGATTTGTGTCGAAACACGGGTTTATCGTGTTTTCGTACTAAAGCCGTGTTCGTTTTTATGACAGGTTTTGATAATGCCAAACCACCGTTACCGGAACCAACACAAATCACACTGAGATATCGGCACTCCGTTCAGGTAGAGACTAGAACTCGCCAACCACGACATCATGGGTTGGCCAAGGTAATTCCTAAACGATCATCTAATCGTGTGTGTGCACATGTAAGGAAACAAATTTTGGGTGTGTGTGTGGGCAATAAAGGTTAACTAACCCCCAAGGACCCATATACATACTTTGGGTACCAAAGTGTTTCTTTTTTGCAGGTACGTATCAAAGTGAGGAACTCAGGGGGAACCAGCGTTGGGTGGTTTATCCCATCGCTGAGAAGGAAGTATTTTCTAACCAGCAGCCCTCTTCCCATCGATGGGAACTTCTTCCCATCACTGGGTGTTTGACACTTTTTTTAAATTTTTTTTTAACGGATTTCGAGTAGCAGTCTTCCCATGGATGGGAGAACCTTACCATCGCTGGGAAGACTGCCTTCACTCTTTCCTCCCATTCTAGTACATGTCTTCCCATCAATGGGAGAACCTTACCATCGCTGGGAAGCCTTTTGCAATTCAAAAATCATAGCCGTTGGGCACCTCATTCAATGCCCAATAGCCATATTTTTGAACACCAAGGGCCCAAATTCTCTTTTCCTATAAATATTAACCATCCTTGGTAATTTTTAACACACAATTTACATTCCTTTTACATACTTTAAGCCTCTACTCACTTTCTAAACGCTTCAACAATGGCTAGCGGAAAGTCGTGGACCAAAACAGAGGCTTCAAAGAAGAAGGCAAACACCGACGCCACGACCTCTTCTTTATTTTCTCCTTATTAAATATGATTGAATTTTTATCCGTTGTATTCCGCATTTCCCTTTTAATGAATAAAAGTTTACTTTTAATTCTTTTTGTTAATGTCAAAAGGGGGAAGATATAAAGGTTATGCATAGATTGAGGGGAACTTTTTCTAAAACTAACTCTTATTCAACACATAAACTTTGTTGAAAAGAAAATTGCATTTATTAAGGGGGAACATTTTTTATGTCTCAAATCAATCCTCCTATGCATAACCCCGCCTTGTTTGCCATTATCAAAAAGGGGGAAATTGTCGAAACACGGGTTTATCGTGTTTTCGTACTAAAACCGTGTTCGTTTTTATGACAGTTTTGAGAATGCCAAACCGCCGTGAACGAGACAAGTTGTTGAATATACAAGGCGAGAAATAAATATAAGAAGAAAGCAAGAGAACAAGAGCTAAAAGATACCAAGAACGAAGACAGTAGTCTTTAGCGTCGTTGAGTCGGTCACAATGTGATCAAGACCGACCCAAGCTTTGCACTTTGGCTCTTTAGGCTAAAACATTTTTTATTGCATTTTACATATCATCAAATTTATTTTAAAACATGCTTAAACATATTAAAATCACTTGGTGTTCGCCCAAACCAAAAACCAAACCATCTGGGGTTCGGCTTTCGGAAACCGGCATTCGGCATTCGGTTATCGGCGTTGGTTTTTGGCGTCCGAAACAACCAAGTGGTTTTCAACTTTTTATGATTGGTTTTTACTTCTGGGACATTTAAATAGTTGTACATAAAAAACACTTCAAAAACTACCTTTTGTTTTTTGTCGTTTGATAAAAACCATGCGAAACGGCATAAACTTGGCTAGCCGTGGTTTTTACTTAAATGAAGTGGTTTTCGAGTCTTTTTGTGTGGGAATTGTTTTTGAATGCATTTAAATGGTTCTCCAATCAAAACATCATGAAAACCACCTTTCGGTTTTGTCTTTTGGTAAAAATCACCTGTGTACGGCATTGACTTGGTCAACCATGGTTTTTACCTTAACGACGTGGTTTTCAACTTACAAAGCTTGTTTTGACATCAACATACATTAAATAAGTGTTTTGTATACTTAGTTTTTACTTTGGAGAACTTTGCATTTTTTGGTCGGGTTTTAGCGCCGGTCAACTAGGCCATGGTTTTGGGCTAGCCATCTACCCAGCGATGGTAGATATCACCCATCCATGGGTAAGTGATCCCGGGATTCCGAAGTCATGCCACCCAGCGATGGTTAAGCGGCCTTCAGCCCAATTGAATTCTAGAACCATGCCAAACAGCGATGGGAAGCTCTACCCATCGCTGTTCAAGCCTTGGTCCAATATAGTCAGAAGGCAGAATGCCCTTACCCAGCAATGGGAACCTTTACCCATCGATGGGAACCCAGCGATGGGAGGGCATACTGTTGGAGTTGTGCCCTGATGGCCAATTGTTCATCGTTATCCTATCATGTATAGGCAGATATAATATGTTTACACATCTCATGCTAATGTAAACAAATATTATATTCCGAGATTTATATTTAAAGATGTTTATCAGATAGTGTTTCTCTGCTGATGAGACTAACATCTTGAAATAAATATTTATCTAAATGTCCGTAGTCGAGTATTAACGAGTGTAGGATATTGTTAATGCATGTGAGACTAGTGTGTGTTGGATGTTTGACTTAGTCTCATAGTCAATGATAGCGTGTTCGCATCCGCACATGGGCAGATATTATCTGGAGATAATAGGATGCCGGACTAACCCATCCTAAAGATGTTGCTTGAACTCTTAGTTCATGCTCTAAGCATCTTTAGCGCGATCACGGGTGTAACTATCCTTCGACTTGAAGTATTATGTTTTCTGCATATGTGAACCCGCATACTTTGATGCATTGTCCTTAGCCATATGAAATAAGGATGGTATACAGGCTTTGTTTTGGGTATGCCGCAGCGCGTATTCAGAAACGTAGATTACGTACAAAGGATTTGTCACTACTCTTTTTAAAAGAGATTAATGTCTTATGCGGGCCCACTGATAAGTTATGATTGAGCAAATTGCATGGCCATGCTGAGATGCTTTTATGACGTCTGTTCCTATCAGTCACACTTGATAAATCAGTGAATGACTTAATGGATACAAGCTGGATTTTATTAATCCCTTGCATTAAGTCTAGACATTGAGACAATGGGATACAGTTACACGGAGTCTGAGTCGTGGAAAGGTTTTGACGGTGCAAACGTCTTAACTTATAATCTGGGGGCAATAATGTGTTG